ACACACTTGACATTTCTAAGTACGTTTCTGTATTTGTTTGTTTATAAATTGGCTGAATATGTTATCTTAAGCAACTAAATTCGCTCTTGAATAAAGTTACAAACTGCTGAGGATATACTGAGCAGATTTGAGTGCAGTACCTGGATGCAGTCTGGTACTCCTGTGCTGTCCATCCGACTGGCCACATTCACTGTGTTCCCCCAGATATCATACTGGGTTTCCTGGCTCCAATCACCCCTGCTACAACCGGCCCATGTTTAACCCTAAGAAAATATCACCAGCAGTTACCATGTAAGTAGATTACACAGTTCCCCTTTGACTGAGTTATAAGATGTTGGAACCAGAACCCAGGCTTACCTATCTTCATCTGGAAGTTGTTGAAGGAGTGTTCATTGATGTATTTCATCTGCTCCCTGAGTCTCATGGCGTAATCGGCCAGAGCTAAGATGTGTGAGCGACCCTCTCTGTCGTAGGTGGAGTCATTGAGGCCAGAGGCTGCCATGTAGGTGGAGCCAATGGTCTTGATTTTCTCCAGCTGACGGAACCGTTCTTCGCTGATGATCTAGAAATTAATAATCGAAAGCGTATATGGAAAGGAAGTGCAACAAGAGCAGTACATCAGCTACAGGATATCAGCTTTATGAGTGTCAGAACACACAAAACAGGAAAAAGGTGATTGATTTACTCTGCATTCATCTTTTTCTCTCACATTTTTCTCTTCTCACCTCGTCAAAATCGGCGATGATCTCATTGAGCAGTCTGAGGCACTCCACCCCCTCGTTGTTAGCCTCCAGCTCAACGTAAAACTCTGAAAAGTTGCTGATGGAGGCAAACATGACAGCGACACACTCACATGACTGGTAGTACAACTCGTCATTCCGACGCTCCCGTGCTAGAAAGTGGGCGGCTACATCCTTGGGCAGGATGTTGTGAAGCAGGCGGCGATTGTAGGCCTGCAGCTCTTCCATCTCCTCCTTCTCCTCTGTGGCCTGAAGGTGGATGGGAGGAGGGGGGAAAAGTGGCGCATTATTATTTTTTTTGTCATGTGAGTAGATCATTGAAGTAGTCTGTTGCCTCAGTGACACAAAACTAAATTGGCTGAATTCCATCTTGCTTCTCCGTCAGGGCCACTGTCACACTTTAATGGCTTCCTTTGACACTAGAATACAATAGACTCATCCCCAAAGTTATTACTAACTCCTTTAAAAAACATCCAGTGCCTCTGCCAGATTTGTTATGTTTTTTTCCTCCTGTGATACAGTTTGTCTGTTTTTCAGTCTGCTGGATTACAATACACTTTCTTGACTCCAGAGGTGCACACGTTTAGCTGCCTCTACAGATCTCCTAAATAAAAACAATAAAAACAAACAACAATCAAAGCAATCCAGACGCAAATAGAAGCACATACCAATGACAACCACAATCAACAGATTTGCACATTAACCACATGTTCCAATGTTAACACAGCATTAATAAATCCAGAATTATCTGGATTTATTAAAGAGCTTACTCCATAAATTAGCTCTTGTGTAAAATGTGTTTGTTGTTTGTATGTGCTTGCAAGTTTAGCAGGATTCATAAACCTGTTTGACTGGTGTGGTTTACTCCATTTTTTGATAAGTCATAAAGGTTGCGGTTAAAAGGGTTTGAATAATAGTGGCTTTAGTTTTTGTTTTTTTAAATCACACAAAACAGTTTCCTTTACCTGCAGCTTCCAGAGGAAGTCAAGGCGTGCAGTGGACTCCACCTGCTGGCCGTGCAAATAGAGAGCCAGAACAAACACTGTGAGAATTATCGGGGTCAAGACCTTAAGGGGCACCTTGGTCACGGTCTCCAGGCTGAGGAGGGAAATAGGAGATGATGAGAAAAATCAATGATTGTGTTGCCTAGGAGTGAAATGTTGCAACCATAAGCATTTATATATCATGCTATAATTGAGAGCTTCTCACCACTGTTCAGCAGTTTCATTGGAACGAGGCCTGGAAAAAAAACACAAGAGGAAGTCACATCAATAGATCATATGGGTCATTGAAATAAGGTAGGGAAATACAAAGTAACACAACTTACTGTTGTTGGGAAATATTAGAGACTTGCCTGAGGGGAAAAAAGAGAACATTAAAGTAGGAGTAGCGCCCAACTGGTGAACAAGAAAGTAGTGTTTTGAATTGTTTACCTTATTGTAAAAAAGTAGGACATGTTTATTGTAAACTACAGTATTGTGACACAGTCGCTGAACTACCCAGGTTGAACATTAGGAAACACTGAGTGTACATGTATGTGTGTGTCCCTGTAGGGCACTCACAGGGTGTTCAGGGCACGAACCAGCAGGTCTGCATTGTCAAACAGGACAACCTGAGGCCACTCCACCAGAAGAAGAAAAGTGAGCTGGATGAACAGCATTAATGCCAGTTTCCCAATGCTGCTGATGTGGAGGAACACAGAGCAGGCCAGCAGGGTCAGCAGTACGCTGTAGCTGAAATACTGCAGCACAGAGGGGACAGCCGGTGTGGAGGAGGAGGCCAAAGTTAAGGAGAGTATTCAAACATACTTTTAATGGATACAGAAACAGACTAAATACAAAAATCCTTAAATGTCATGTGACTGACCTCGGGGAAATGGCAGGTCGTGTCCTCCTGGTTGGGACACACGATCAAACCGTCCTTTGCTGTCTTGGTCAGGTTGTACAGCAAACAGTTATTCATTGGTGTGTTCAGCTCCAAACACGCATTCAGATTCTCTCTGTAGCAGGTAAACTGGAGGACAAATGAAGACAAAGAATGACATTTAGCTATCTCCAAATTAGGGTGACATGGCGAAATACACTGCAGAAAAAGAATTTATACTAAAATCAAATAGCCCCAATATTGAAACATAAACATGCTTTATTTTTGTCATCAAACGGAAGTAGAGCCTTCTTTGATAAAGTTCCCTTGGACACATATCTTTGAATACTTGTGGTAGAGATATGAACCTTGTATTTTTTAATAAAAATAAATAATGTTTTTTAATTTTAATAAACAAATAACTTTTATCAAACCGTAACCACAGCTGTTTTTTGTAAATGACAATTTTTATGTAATTTAAAAAACACATTTGATGGCTTGGTAGAAGGACGTGAGGTTTCACTTGCATGTTTTTAACTGCATCATGACTTTTAACACTGTACTGGCTGTTTAACTAGTTGAAAGTGATTCGGACCTAAGACACGTGTTTTAACTGTGACCTGCCAAGGCACTGCAGATGTAAATTAGATCAAGGCCAACTCTGGTACAGTGCATGGTCCCTTAACAAATAAAATCAATAAAATCAAATAAATTGTTTGTTTTAGCTGTATATATACACACACACACACACACACACACACACACACACACACACACACATATATAAAATGCTAACAATGAATACTTAAAGGTCACATATTTTCCTCCTTTTCAACCAATTTTCAGAGGTCCCCAAAACATTAATGGAAATTTCTTGTTAAAAATCCACTCCGATTGTGTATTTTCGCATGCTTATAAACCCCTCTCTTTCAGTCCTGCTCAGAACGGGCTGTTTCTGTGTTTATAGCTTTAAATCTAAATGAGCTGTCCCTCTCTCTCTCTCTTTTTCACACTCCATGACCGACTGTTTACAGAGAAGGCAGACTCAGAGGGCAGAAGAAACACCTCGCTGTGGGAGAGCCACCCACCAGGGGGGAGGGGTTACTGCCCTTTGTGATGTCACAAAGGGGAAAATCTCCAAACGATTTTTTCATTGGATTTTGCATCTTTGCAGAAAATAAGTTCTGTGGCAAACACATATTGTGATGCGTAGGCGTTTTGGATAATCTTCACAAATGAACACCATTTTTATGATGTTTGAAGCGTTACTGCAGCCAACAGAAGTAAAAAGCTAACGTTATGCTCTAGAGAACTACACCAGGGTCGGATGACTTTGAAGTCACTACCGTTATGCTTCGGACGATTTCCGATAAGCTAATCAGCGTAACTTAATAAATTGTTTAATTAACCTATTTGCCTTAACCCAAAGATTAAACATACAGGAGACATCACGGACTCGTGAGAGAGTTCCCGGCGTTTGTATCCGGTGTGATGATTTTAATGACCCCGACAACCACTGTAGTCTCATCTAGCCATTTGTTAGCAACCGCCTTTTTAAGGACGCGTAAAAAATTCAAATTTCACAATGGGGAGTATTACCTAACAGAGTTTATGTTGTCTAACAAAACGGGAACATCTCGTAAGCTTCAGTTAACCACAGACCCATTCAAAATCCCCATTCAGTTTGAGAGGATAGACCCCCATGGCGCTAAAATGCTAACTTAATTGCAGGTTTTAGGATTATAGGAATTTTCTTTCTTTCTTTTTTTAAAAACAAAAACAAAAACAGGATGCTGCAACATTTATTGAAAAACTCTCAAAAAGATTGGTGACATCTGAGGTGAAGTTTGTGAATAATTAATCACATTTTCATAGACCCTTGACTTGATTTCATTTTTGGGGAACAGTATAAAACAAAACATTACTACCACAACATGATAAAAAGATGTCAAAAGAGCTGTAGCACCTACCATGTTTGCAAAGGAGGAAATGAAGAGGAGGAGGATGGTGAGGACACCCACCAAAGTGCTGTGTGCACGAGACTGGACAATCTTCTTGGGTAAGAGTCTGCAAGGCATTTGGGAAGAGCTAGAACGGAGAAAGAGAGGAGGAGATCAGTTAGCATTAATACCGTCAGTGGTACTGGCTGAAGACATATGATACCAATTCTTATCTGAAGGTATCTGCACAGATATTTTGAGTTGTCAAGGCTTTTGTTTCTTACTTTGATGCAGGAGTAGATGGCACTGATGAAGAGAATATTGGCAAGGATGATGAAGATGGTGATGTAAAGGCCGAGCATAACTTTTGTCCTGTGAAAGACAAGAAAAAAAACAGATTTGTTAAGACGCTCATCTCTCATTTAACTCCTGATGAACTAAAACCAAATTTCCTGTGCACAAATCAGTAGAATAAGGAAAGTAGAGGCGACCTATTGGAGAGAGCTACTCACTTTGGGAAAATGATAATCTGGATGAAACAGATGCAGCAGAAAACAAGGAGTATACAGGCCACGTATCCTCCAAAACGATCATCGATCTTTTTGGAGTACTGCAAAGGGAATATCAATGCAAAAATAAATGTCCTTATAGCTCAAATAAAGTGAAAGAATCATTTCAGAATTACATTTTTCATGAACTCCAGTGAAAAACCAACCTTTTTCTCGAGGTCGGGTGTCTGAAATGTGAGTAGGAATTTCTTGACATGGTCCTTCCTCAGCTGGTTGATGCTACGCGCATCGATGGCCCGTCCAAGAAACTCATCCACCTCATCCTCGGGGTTCAGGGCCTCCTGAGCACAGCGGCTATGAGGGAAAAGATTAATAGGTCAATGCCTGGTGCCTGGTGTGTGTGTGTGTGTGTGTGTGTGTGTGTGTGTGGTGTGTGTGTGTGTGTGTGTGTGTGTGGTGTGTGTGTGTGTATCTGTGAGTGAGTGTGTATGAGAGAGTTGGCCTAAGCTGTGACAGGCAGGATGACTCAGAGTTAATGTGGCATCAGTGCTGTGTTGGATTTGACCATATAAAATCAACAGTGGGCTCTGAAGTCAGACTGCTACAGTGACAGCCTGCCAGTCAACCACTAATAACAAAAGCTGATTTGGTAACAAGGACCGAGGCCAAAACACTCACTTGTCTTTGCTGGATGCTTCATCGATGCCCTGAGAAAAAAAAACAGAATTAGAAAATGACGCCAAAACACAGAAATGAAAGAGAAATAGACAAAAGGAGGTATTATTGAGCAGCCACGGTACATCTGAAAAATAGACAGAGACTCAGACATCTGCACAGCTAATCCCTGAGAGCCAGACTGATGTTTTAATTAATGCTCGGAGGCTTCAAATTACACCCTTGTTGCCCCCAGGGCTCAAACCCTCTGAGATGGAGAAAACTAAAGGCGGAGGAGAGGGAAGAATGTAGGAAAGAGGCGGAAATGAGACATGTAGCATAGAAAGAGGGAGGAAGTAAGAGCGAGTGAGTTAAGAGACATATCTGCAGTTGCAGCCACATCAGATTAGCTTCAGAGGTAAAGGGGGAACAGAGAGTTCAGAGGGGGAACAGGGAGTTCCTTGGAATCCTGTAATAACTCCTGTATGTTTCACCAGAACAGATCAATACGTCTCTCACATCCTCATTGTCTGCTCCAGGCCTTAGCATATTTACAGTTCTGTACAAACTTGTCACTTTGAGACAGTTTATTCATATTTGTAGAGCAACTCACTTATTTAACTTTGAGGAAGTCTGAAAGAAACAAGTTTATACATCCAAGATAGCAAACTATGTGAGCCTGATTTTAGGTGACGTTCCTACCAATCAAAGTGCTTCCATGGTAATAATGTGCATGTTAAAGATATACCATGTTACTCTATTGTGTTAACATGATAATATTGCTATTTTTATGTTAAGAAAGTAAATTTAAAGTAGGTAGCCTTTACAAACATCACATAGGAACATCGTGCAGAGAGAAAAACAGCAGCATGAAAAAATAACAAACCTTATGAGGACCATTAGGGTTTGACTTTTCATCATTTAACTTTTTGTTAGTTAGTGGCCTTGTCTCTTTTTCTTAAGACTGTATATTGGAAATATAATTTCTGAAAAGCTGAGAAATTCAAAGAAAAGAAGAAGGCTTTTAATGAGACAAAGGCATGTGTAGATTCCCTAAAAACTGATCTTTAACTACTCTGGTGATGGGAAATGTATCTTAAAAATAGCTCAGGAATTATTGATTAGCTGCTATAGTTCCTGCTAAGGTCTGCTGACAGCACTAAACACAGAGTGCAGCTACAGATTTTTTACAATGATTTATTTATATTAAGTTTACAATTTAAGTATTTCACAAACTGAAATGATCCCTGTATCGCTGGAGTTATTAGTCCACAATAACTATCATAACAGTCAATGTACTCCATTCAATAATAGTTGAGCCATTTCAAACATTTATGAGAAGAAATGAAATGAGTATCAAATGTGTTGTTGTTAAGTTGGTCATAATTTCACCCTAAAAATAGACTTCTGACCCTGAAAAATAAATGTCAAGAAATATGAATTCAAAGCTTCTTGAAGGTCACATATTCTCCTTTTCAACAAGTTGAAATAAGACTCAGAGCTCCCTATTTTTAGCATGTTTATAAACCCCTCTATTTCAGCCCTGCTCAGAGCAGGCTGTTTCAGCGTATATAGCTTTCTCGCTCCATGCCCAGTTGTTAACAGTGACAAAGCAGACTCAGAGGACAATTCAACTCCTAGCTGTGGGAGTGACACCCACCTGGGGGAAGGGTTACTGCCTTTGTGATGTCACAGAGGGAAAACCTCTACATGGCCTGCTTGAGCACACTTTTTCTGAAAATTGGAGCAGGCAAAAGACGGACAGGATGGACTTTTCTTATAAAAGGGGGGTTTGTAGACAGACTAGGGACACATATTAGTGTTTAAAAACATGGTAAAGTGTATTTTACATAATATGTGACCTTTAAGGGAATCATTTAAAAGAATGATAATAATTTGGCTTCAGTGAATTGAGAGGAAGCCGCAGGATTTCAGATATAGACAAGAAGAACAGTTGCTTGTTTAAGTGCTCCCTGTGTGTATCCCACCATCTGCCTGAAGACTTTGGATTCCTTGGTTCTGGAGAAGGATCTGTCAGGCACCCAGCGTGGCATCAATCCCTCGGCAGAATTTGCACGTGCTCGCTGCATCTTGGCCAACATGGCTTTCTCCTCTTTCTGGAAGTGAAGAAACCCCACAGCGTTAAGTGCTTTGAGAAACAAGGTCTTCAATGCCAGGTGACAAGACATTATATTGTGTGTGTGAAATATGGCACCAGTGTGACATTCATAGGAGGTCAGGCATGTAAATGGGTCGCGTGTGTGTGTTGTATGTGTGACTTTGCACTAACCCTCTTCTGGCTGCAGCCAGCACCAAGAAGGTTTCAATGTTGTTCTCCTTAAGGTATGCATTCCTCTCTCCTCCAAACCCCGACTCCACCTCGTAGTCTTCGTTCAGATACTGCAGTGTGGCCTTTGTGATGTGGATACGCCTAGCAGACGAACACGCAAACACTGTGTCAAAAACTGCACAAGACTCTGGAAGCCTACACCAGTTCAGTGGCAGGTTGAGTAGGCGGGACTTACCCAGCCTTCCCTCCGGCCTCCATTTGGTTGGCAAGCGTCACATCATTGGACCACACATCAAAACTGCCACTTGCGAAGGCCAAGCACCCCGCAGTGAACTCGCCCACTGTGGATGCCCACCCTCATGTTCACATTCACGCCTGTCACCTCTCTCACCAGCCTAAAAATACACACACACACACTGATGTTAGAAAAAACTCGAGCAAGCTTTAACTTGAGGGTCTCTTCTATACTCTTAAAAAACAAATGAATACACTTTAACTTCACCTTCACTGGGTGTGCATGCTTGTTGTGATTGAGTTGTTCTTTGTGTATTTTTTTGTGCATTAAAGTGTTTGACTCACGAGATGGCCTCAATCATGTCTACTCCCATCTCCACACAGCAGTGGGCGTGATCAGCCCGTGGCTCAGGCAGCCCTGACACACAGTAGTAACAGTCCCCAAGGATTTTTATACGAAGGCAGTGGTTCTCCTGTGCAGCGACCACACACAGAGACACACATGCAAACACTTAGAATATTAGTTATTTTACAGCATGGTACAGCATACAGCTTTGAAGCACTGATATAGTTTGGGTTCATTATCAGTGTCAGTAAACTTTAAAATGTTTAAGTTAAATCATGCTTGCTTTGTTGTAATAAACACGGTCTGCTGAAGGTTGGATGGTTACATTATTAAGAGTGGTTTTGTTGTATTTCTGGTGTGAAAATGGAGACGGCAGGTTGTCAGTGCTCACCGAGGCCAGCTTGTCGAAGCGGGCGAACAGCTCGTTCAGCGTCATGACCAGCTCCTGCGCCGTGCACTGAGACGCAAGGCTGGTGAAGCCCTCGATGTCTGCAAAGAGTATGCTACAGGAGAGAGGTAGTGAGGAAGAAGACAAAGAAGACATCAAATGAGATCAATCAATGAAGTTCACTGTTTCCCCGCAGCGCTTTAGAGTCAATGCGGTCGCCTTAACAAAACAGGATTTCGCCTTAACTACGCCCATAGTTTGGCCGATCGTGATATGCGGAAACTTTTTTCTGTTTCATGTCACTGGGTCTGTGTCAGGCATCAGCTGATGGTTAGGGTGACAACAATCAGAAATGAATTGTCAGTAAAGTAACAGCCTGCTGGAGTCTGTAGCTGCAAACTTAGACGAATAAAAACGGTTACAGAGCGCTGCCTTTGGTTACTGGATGTAACTCCAATTCTATAAGTAAGTGCGTAGCCCTCTAGATGGCTTCGCTATGGGTCTTGTTACAAACACTGTTAAAATGATGCAGCATTTCATATTACAGTCAGTTGTACTCCGATTTAAAAAAAAAAAAAAAACCCTTCTAAACAAAAGGGAGTTCAGGTTTATCTATTTGCTTTCATTAATGTTATTATTAATACTTTTATTTATTTTTGTCTATATGTTGTGTAAAAACACACAGTGTATGCTTCGTTTTAGTTTTTGTATTTATTTTGTGTTTAATTTACAACAACCAACAAGCCAGCTACCACATTAACTAGCACAGTTCCTGCGGGAAACACTGGAGTTAGTCAGTGTCGTACAGCGCCTCTCTACTTCCTAACCATCAAGCTGCCGTGTGAGAAGCTAAGGGAGGGAGGCTGACCTTAGTTCAGCTCTGGCTCTCACCATCTAAGCCGATGTAGGTCACCTCCTCCAGACCATCCTTCTGAGAACTCCACCTCCCCTCTCCCCCTGTCTGCATGCCTTGTATTGCTAACTTTTGATAGTATTGAAAAGACTAAGATAACAACAACAACAGTACCAGTTAAGGGTGACAGATGGCGCTGCTGGTCCTATGCGGTCATCCATTTGGAGAGAACGTTTTTTTAATTACAGCA